TTGAACTTCTAATAGGTTACTAATTCTAATCCTAATTAAAAGTCACATGCTATCCAGATGACTTTCCTAAATTTAAAACTTAGACTACAAATAAAACTCAAACTTAATGCAAAACAAACAGCTCTAAACGTAATCATTAAAAAGAGCTCTATGCTCCCGCATCATTCTCCCTGGCTTGGAAACTGTGCTAGGTTCAAATCGAAGGTCTTGTATTTAGCATATTTATCCAAAGCAATCTTCTTCCATGAAGTTCTCCAAGAATGTCCCTTAAACTTTACACCCCTATAACAAACAATGGATGTTGGAATACGATGCAGTCTCACCACCTCTTCTAGAAATAAATCAATAACTTGTGTGGCAGCTGAGATTTTAGAACAAGGAAAGAAGTTTGTCATTTTTGTGTATAATTCAATCTTGTAGGTAGGCAGATTAGTTAAACATGCTGCTAGAATAAAATCAAAGGCCTATTGAAAATTCAACATTGGAAACATCCCTTCTGATACTTCTTTAATTTTTTTGACCCTTTAATATCTTCTAATAGCTACAGATTTTCATTAGGTTGCATAGAATTTTCTCTTTTTTGTTCTTCTCCTAATAGCTTATTTAGAACATGTTTGGTTCAGCTTCCAAGTACTTCAGCTTTTCGACACTATTCATGTTTCATAAATTTAAATTTTCCTCTTAAAAACTTATATTTTTAAACTTTTTTTTAACCTTAAAAAGATCTTAAACAGTAAAAACTTAAAAGCTTCAAATCCAAACTTTTTATAAACTCCATTTTTATTTATTTTTTACTCAATTTTTCCTATCTCTAAAAGTAACTTTTAAACTTTTCCTCCAATAAAAATTTAAACTTATCACTCATGAACAGTACCAAAAAAAAAAAAGAGTAAAAACTCTTACAAGCTAACCCAAACATGCTCTTAAAATAGCATATATGACTCTTGCCTCTGGACTTTTAGCTTCAAATTTCTTACTAGATGTGTAACCAATTATCTTGCCTTCAGTTAGAGATTTTTTTTTCTTACTCGTCTTCCCTTAAAGAATGACTCCTCCAATCTTGTCCTTCTTCCTTAGTTATTGCCATCATTCCTTGAATCATTAAAGATTCTTCCTAAATTGAAAGAAAGTCCACTTCTTCAATTTCATCACAATAAACATCATAAACTGGTTCTAACGTGTCACCTCCTTCGTCTTCAAACAAATCAAGGGCATGCATCAACTGCTCTTCCAATCCACCGCTTACTGCTTGATTTGCGGTTCTAGCTTCATGAAAAGGGTCATCATCCCTTCCATCCACAAAATCATCCTCCAGACTACCTTCTGGTGTGTCTGCAAGGTTATGGACACCTTCTGGCATCTCCATACGAGCTCCCATGGGTTCCTATCATTGTAAAGCTTGCACAACTGGCTACAAGTCCTCAATCATACATAACATCTCAATTAATTTTACTTGTTGGCCTTTGTTTCCTCTGCCACAACTAACCATAGCTTTGATACCAATTTGATGCAAGGAAGGTAGGGGTAGAACAAACAGAAACTAAGAACCCCATAAAATTAAAGATGGAACTAAGAAAACTTAGGTTTTCAACCTCAAGTTTATTCTCAAACTAAAATCTTATAACAAAAATTGCCTTTGAAATCTAAGAATAATTATTTTTACCAATAACCTGTTGGTTTGAATGGAAGGAATTCGGTTCCCCTTAAGGAAGATCTCAAGTTCAAGTCCTATGAATGGAGAAACAGGTATTAAGAGAGTTTCCCCCATTAAGAGAGTTTCCCCCCTTAAGAGAGTTTCCCCCCTTATGAGGTTTAACGCAGGTCAATTCCAGATTAATCGAGGCCCAACATTATTTTCAAATACCGAGAGGTTAATAATAAAAAATAACCAAGAATCCTAATTCAATTCTAATTTAAACTTCTAATAAGTTATTAATTCTAATTCTAATTAAAAGTCACATGCCATCCACATGACTTTCCTAAAATTAGAACTTAGACTCCAAATAAAACTCAAATTTAATGCAAAACAAACAACCCTAAAACTAATCATTAAAAAGAGCTCTATGCTCCCGCATCATTATCAAATCCTTGACATTTAGTAGTCTATTCATTTCAACTTTGGTTGTTCATGCATCTCATTAAAATTGAGTTCAAACTTTGAACCATAATCATTGTCATTGTATGGAAATGGAGGGTTTGCTCTAAAATAAAGTGTTTGCACATGGAAGCAATTGCAGTTGTATGATACTACTTAATTTCTGACTTTTTCATTAACTTTCCAATCAGATCCTAATCGATTTAGATTTACAAGACAAACAACATTTGGACGTCGTCACATGAGCTCTTCCACAGGCACATCCATTGAATTATGGATTGTAAGTTCATTTCTTTAGTCTGCCAAGCAGTAGACGTGGCACGTACACTATCACTCATAGGCATTCTCATGATTTTGAGCATTCTTCTAGCCTTTCACTCTTGTGTTTTGAATTTGTTTGTAGAAATGCTTCCTCCAGCACTTCTTCTACTCAGTGGCAAAAATTGACTACCTTACTTTGCGCCATGGTTTCATCTCAGTCAGTACCCTTGCTAATTCTGTCTTCTCCATTTTGTTTCAATATATAACAGTATCCGGTAACTTGCTGATTGGGCCTTTCCCACTTTCTATTTTGTTTACTAATTTTGAAGGCTCATTTATCCGCAAATAGTTCCTTCAATTTCCAGAGATACATACAGAGATCACTAGATGATGATTTCCAAGCTGTAGTTGGTATCAGGTTTGTGATGAATATGAATCTTTGTATATTCTCCTTATTTACATGCTATGGTCTTCAATTTTCATATGGTATGTATTGAACTCTTTGAATGTTTCATGACAGCCCTTTAATGTGGTTAATAGTTGTCATCTTCATGTTCGTTGATGTTCATGGTCAGTACAAACTCCTCCACATATCCCTTTACTTTTTCCTTTTACATTAGATTCTAGATATTTAACAATATTTCTGAACATGAACAGGTTGGAATGTGTTTCTTTGGGTGTCATTTCTCCCATTAATTGTAAGTGTTGAAGATTCAAAATCTCATCTATTTTCTGAGCAAATTAATAACCTTTTAATTTTGTTTGAACACTAACATCATCACTTATTCATATACGAATTAATTGCTTCCAGATAGTGCTGGTTCTTGGAACCAAGCTCCAAGTAATTGTCGCAAGAATGGCACTTAAAATCCAACAAGAGAGTAGTGTAATCAAAGGAGCCCTTTTGGTACAACCCAATGATGATCTCTTCTGGTTCAGTCACCCAAAATTTGTCCTCACTCTTATGCATTACACTTTGTTTATGGTAATTCCTCCTAATTATTCCCCAAAAAACTATTATATTCCTGCTCAACTAACCTGACTAATTAATTTCATCATTTCCAGAATGCATTTGAGTTCTCATTCTTTATCTGGGTCACGGTAGGGCATCTTTCTTTCCTTGGCTCAAGTTTCAAATATATACAAATACAATGATTGATCTCTCATGTCATTCTGCTTTGATCTTCAGTGGCAATTTGGGATAAAATCTTGCTACCATGAGCACACAGAAATCATTGTTACAAGGGTTGTATTAGCGTAAGGAGCCATTTCTCCTCTTTGCTTTCACCACTTCCTATAACATTCAAAACAAATTGATATGAATTCTAAAATGTTAAGTATGCATTTTGTTTATAGGGTGACAGTTCAAGTCATGTGCAGTTACATTACTCTTCCCCTATATGCTCTTGTGACTCAGGTATATGTACATGCCATCCCATGGCATGCAAATAATTAATCAGTATCTGCAGCACTGCTGCTTAAAATCTAAGGTAATTGGATTTTGTGATTTTTCACAGATGGGATCAAATTTCAAGAGTACAGTGCTGGAGAATAAAACTGCAAATGCCATAAAACAATGGCATGCCGTTGTGAGGCAGAGGAGGAAAAAACAAGAATCATCCAACTGTCATGACTCTTCATCTAGAGGTAGTAGCAGCAGCAACAGAACTGCTGGTTCCTCTAATTTTTCTTCTCATCTACATCGTATGCCAACTGTTGCAAAAACATCTACCTTTCCTGCAAAACATGAGATTCTCGAAGAAGATAATCAATTAACTCACCAAGGCACTGGCCCTTCTTCTTGCGCGGAAATAGAAATGCCCAATGTCACATTCTCTATTAAGTTATCAGATGGAATAACAAGTGGTAAGAGTATAGTGTAAAGTTGATTTTCTTCTTCTTTTAGGAAATAGAAATATCCAATATGTCACAGTCTCAACCAAGTTATATGATCATAGTTTAGTTTGGAACCTGCGCATGTGGTGCATATATGATGTTCATATTTCACTTTACCATTAGTAGGTGTTACCCACATTGATTGCTGCATATTTGCAGTCATCATCTTTCTTGACACAGTGCATACAAAGTAATTTGCCAAGAAGTTAACAATTTTCATTATAATAATCAAATGCATCTTGTGAGAGAAGGAAGAAAGGAAATGAAGCAAACCAACTGCCTGCTGGAGGTTCATGGAAAAGGGTTGTTTGGCATTAAACAAACTTTGTTTTATAACTATTCCATTTTTATCCTAGTAGAAATGATTTTTTGGACAATACAGACCATGGCGATAACCCTTTTTTGGATGAAACCATGGCGTTAACCTTGAAAATCCTACAAAAATGATACGGTATGAAAAAGGTTAAATACCCAATTTGGTCCCTAAACTTTCATTTCTGAACTTAGTTCATCCTTTAACTTCAAAAGGGACCCAAATCGTCCTTAAAGTTTATTTTCCCGTAACTAAATTGGCCCTTCCGTGACGGAAGTGTCCACCTGGCACGTTAAGTCTCCACAATTTAGTTTTTTTAATTTTTAAATGCTTAGTTACAACCCACAAAGTCAAAATCAAGAATCCATTTCCATTTTCAATACTCCAAATCCATTTTCCTCTCTCCATTTACCCACCTCGCTCCACACCCTGCTTTCTTCTTCTAGATTCCATCTCATTTCGTACTACGCTTCGTTGGTCTCAAGGCCGACAGCGTTGAAAACCCTTGCAAGCACAACGGTTTCGAAGGGACTTCTGTTGTCGACACGAAATCAAGGGGTTTGGGTGCAGAACGAAGGCGACGGTCGCAGACACAAGGATGATGATAGAGAAAAGTGAAGGGAAGATGGTGAGCGTCTTTGATTCGGAGGATGATCTGGCGGTGGCCCTCATGAAATACACCTCCGACCTATCTGACAAGGTCTCCAAAACAAGGAGCTCGTTTACTGTCGATCTTTGGTTGTCTCACCACCGTTGTCGCCACGATAAAGACTCGGAGACATGGGTTTTCAAACACAGTGAATGATGATCAACCTAATCCTTCCTTTTCTTCTTTGGAAATCGCAACAGACAAGTCAAGCTTTTCCCATTTGTATGAGGAAACATTAGGGATTCTTGATTTTGATTTTGTGGGTTGTTCTTATTGTTTTCTGGTGATGAGATTTTTGCTAGCTAGACTTATTAAGAATCCCAAATTTTGATCTGAGTTTTTTATTGGAGAAGAGGAGGATGAAACCCAATTAAAAGAATTTAATTTTTTTCCCAAATTATTTGAATGAATCAATTAATTTAATATATTTTACGAGGTTATCATAATCAAATTAATTATGAGTTAATTGATCCTTTAATTATCTGTATTAAATACAACAATCAATTAATTTAAATCTTTTAAATTTATTAAGAATGAATCAATTAAGAAATTTTTTTTTCTGTTCTATTTTTTATCAATATTATATTTAATAATTTTTACCATGTCATCAATTAATTACTGTGTTTTTTTCACGTAAGCATTTGAAAATTAAAAGCATTAAATTGTAGAGACTTAACATGCCAAGTGGGCACTTTCGTTACGGAAGGACCAATTTAGTTATGAAAAGATAAACTTTAAGGACGATTTGGGTCCTTTAACTTCATAAAGGACGAACTAAGTTTAGAAATGAAAGTTTAGGGATCAAATCGGGTATTTAACCTATGAAAAAAGAAGAAGAAGAAAGACTTAACTCAAAAAAAAAAAAATTATAGTACCAAAATATGAGTGAATTTAAAGTTTTGCCGCCGCGGGGGTATTTATTAATGGTTGAAATGCCAAATTTGGTCCCCAAACTTTTAAATTTGTACGAACAATGTCTTTGAACTTCAACAATTACCAATTGATCCTCGAACTTGATTTTTCAGTGTCAATTTTGTCTTTTCATCAATTAAATGGACAACTCTTTCATTAAATAATTCATCTTCTTTAATTCTATCGCTAACATTGAAATTCAAAAGGTTGAGATGGCAACTTTTTAAATTAAAATATTTATTTTTCAAATTATATTGATGATGTGGAAAATGAAGTAATCCATTTTAACCTTACATAAATTAAGGATAACCAACTAATTAATATATTAAACTAACGAAATTACAAAAGTATCCTCAACCATGATTATGGTCCCCCACCTACCAAATTAATTGCTGATAAATAATTAATTAATAAAAACACATTATAAATATCAAATTACAAAATTATCATCTCCTTCTTCACAAACTTATCTCTAAAAAATTTGTGTCCTTAAATAAAAAAAGGTAAAGTTTGTGTCTTTATCTCCACCTTTTCTTTGACTTCTCCAACAAAGAAACCCAAATTTCAATGGGGATACCTTGAACAAATTACATTTTCTTAGTAGTTTTTAATTAAGTAAATCTATTTAATTATTTTAAGTGTTGTAGATGTTCAGACATGAAGTGCCTTAATGCTTAGTCAACTAATTAAGTATGAGAGTTAATTGCTTTTTAATTAAGGTTTGTGCACTGTTTAAACATGAAACATTTTATATAATCTAAATTGAATGATCTTATTTTTTTTTTAAATAAGACTTAAAATTTCCTATGGACGCTAACAAAACATCCATCTCCTCAAAAATCAATATAAAGTTCTACACACAATATTTGAAATAAAAGAAAATTATTTTTTTTTTTTTTTTTTTGAAACTTTGAAGTCCAAGTCAGCATTTAACTAATGGATGGACAAAATTCGTACCGAAAAAATCAAGTTTGAAGAAGCATTTGATACTTTTTGAAGTTTAAGGATAATTTTGATACAAATTTGAAAGTTTAGGAACTTAGTGTTCTAAGCTATATTAATTCTTAACCCTCCTAGCAAAAGCTGCGTCTCTTTCTGCCCTAATTCAAAACAGAGTATACAGAGGGAATATACACACTTGACTCCTAGACTCCAAGTCCTAAGAGAAGCCGGAAAACGATGATATAACCAAGACTCTCAACTCCAAGCTGCTATTTTGGAAGTAGCAAGCATCCACTGGAGAAGCATGGAAGCGGCAGGCGGTAGAGACAAGGGCTCGCCCCCGCCGAAGCCGTCCAAGTTCGCCGTGTATCAGAACCCAGTTCTGTCCGCTGCATTGACGGCCCACAGCCTGCGGCCCTCCAAATCAACTCTCTTCTGCATCTTCTTTCTCTCCTCTTCTTCTGCATTAGCTTTCATCTCCACAACCTCCAGGTACATAAAGTCCTTATCTTTATATCTTATTACTGTTTTGTTCTTTTGGGTCGGTATTTGTTGAACCTAGGAATTCTCGTGGTCTAGGTGTTTGAGTTGATTTTTCTGGGTTTGGGTTGGTAATTAGGGTTTTCAGTGGGTTTAAGCAAAGGGATAAAAATAACGTAGAAGCGCAGAATAAATCAATTTTTATGCCATTTGATAGGCTTCTGGATATGTTTTCTCTTGCGGAAGCTCAATTGTTTATCCTATCGTTATGCTTGTTTTGGGTGATTTTCCGATATGGCTCGGATTTTTTGAAATTTTTGCTTTAAATGTTTCCATGGAGGCAGAGTGAGTACAGGTCTGCTTCTGGTAGATGCCTGAGATTGTAAGCAAATTATGATTCCATGAAGAAAGATGTCTTGATGCTATTGATTGGTGCAGAAAATAATCAAAGATTGCTATTAGGTGTCTTGGGAATTAAGTGCAGTGCCTAAACGAGGAAAAACTTAAGTACTTGTCTCTTCGAATAATCTCACTGTCAGAAAACACAATTGTGGTGATTAATTGGTCTGATGGTGAAAACTTGAGCATTTGTTTTGTTTAACTCCTTAATATGGTTTTATTTGCTGTCAAATGAAAAAGTATGGTTTTTGCCTATTTACTATGTTGATTTAATAGAATTTAGTTTTACTTACACAATCTTCACAATGATGAAGGGAAAATGGTTTCATTGACAACCTGAAATTTGGAAAACTATCTGAAGAGGCAGCTTGTAAGTCTTGATATCTTAATTGGATTCGTTTGATTGCTTGAATTAATTTCTCTTGATGCCTTTTGTTTTGTTCTGATAGATATCTTTTTGTGTTCTTCAGATATTTTTGCCAAGATGATACAGACAGTCTTGGGTATGGTTTTCATTGGAACTATGTTTGCATTATTTAAGGCCATATCTCTACATAAGTCTAAGGATGTCCCAGCTACATCAGGCTCTAAAGGAACTAAGGACCAACCGTGTCTAACAAACAGACAGCTAGGGCTATTGGGAATAAAACCAAAGGTTGAGCCAATTGCATCTGAATCTTCAAAGAAACCACCCAAGTCCAGACCCCCATTGACATCATCTCCCACAGATGTCCTTGTTCCACTTCACCAGCCCATTACATCAAATCGAAAGTCCCAAGTCAGCTCTGATAAATCAAATATCAATGCTGGGATTAAGAAAAATTCCTTTGGCACCCCTTCCAAATCTCAGGGTTCTCCATCTTCATTATATCTTGTACCTGCAGCGAGCTCACCACTATCTTCCATTCAAACTTCACCAGGGCAGGAGCCAGTAGTAAAAACTCCTTGGTCAAATAAGAGAGCCTCTCTTAAAGAAATAACAACAGAAGAACAACTCGAAAAGTTTCTTGCAGAAGTAGATGAGAAAATCATTGAATCTGCTGGAAAAATGTCAACTCCACCACCTACCATTAGTGGTTTTGGAATATCAAGTCCCAACACTGTTGCTAGTTCAGCTAATACATCTGCAACCACAAGGAGTACACCACTTAGGCCAGTAAGGATGTCTCCTAGTTCCCAGAAATTTAGCACTCCCCCAAAAAAGGGAGAGGGTGAGCTTCCTCCTCCCATGTCAATGGAAGAGTCTATTGAAGCTTTTGAACACTTCGGCATCTATCCTCAAATTGAACAGTGGCGGGACAGCTTAAGGCAGTGGTTTTCTTCAGTTCTGCTGAATCCTCTTCTTAACAAGATTGAAACCAGTCACGTGCAGGTCTTTTTTTCCTAGTCTTCTCTTGATGGGATAAACATGATTGATTCTTGTACTACATCTAACATTGAAAACCTGACTCTTGTTAACTTCTATGTTTACAGGTAATGCAAGCAGCTGCAAAGCTTGGTATTTCAATAACAATTAGTCAAGTAGGAAGTGACGCACCAACTGGTGAAACTCCAGCTACTGTAGCCCCTACTGGTAGGATGAAAGAATGGCAACCAACTTTGACCCTTGATGAAGATGGGCTGCTTCACCAATTGCGTGCTACTCTTGTGCAGGCTCTTGATGCTTCCATGTGTAAGTTTGTTCATCACTTGTATTATATTTTATTTCTATGTTTGCAAAAATTTGGTTTGTTATTGCTCTTAGCTAATTTTTAATCACATGCAGCAAAGATATCTTTAGCCAATCCACAACAATCCCCACAGCAGAATCCTTTAGTCCCTGTTATGCAGGAGTGTGTGGATGTCATCACTGAACATCAGAAGCTTCATGCTTTGATGAAAGGAGAGTGGATGAAAGGTTTGCTACCACAGAGCAGTGTTAGGGCAGATTATACGGTACAAAGGATTCGAGGTATTTAAAAACTGGAAAAGTTTTCTCCTTTATATTATTGTTTCTTTTGGTATCCCCTAAAAAGAAATCTGAAATAGTATTGTCAATAAATTTTTTCACCTACGTAATTTACCATTGGGTTGCCCACTTTTGGAATACAGAGCTTGCTGAAGGCACTTGCGTGAAGAATTATGAGTATCTTGGAAGTGGAGAGGTTTATGACAAAAAGAACAAGAAGTGGACCCTGGAGCTTCCAACTGATTCTCACTTACTCTTGTATCTGTTCTGTGCTTTCCTAGAGCACCCAAAGTGGATGCTACATGTTGATCCTACTTCTTACGGTGGAGCTCAGTCTAGCAAAAACCCTTTATTCTTGGGGCTTCTACCACCAAAAGAGAGGTTTCCAGAGAAGTACATTGCTGTCATATCTGGTGTTCCCGCAATTCTTCATCCAGGAGCTAGTGTACTGGTTGTTGGAAGACAGAGCCCTCCAATATTTGCCGTGTACTGGGACAAGAAGCTGCAATTCTCTCTTCAGGTAATTGTGCAAGTTAACTTCAAGTTTATGGGTGGTAAAACTAGGGAGACCAGTTGATTTAGACAATAACTGTTTTAAAGTTCTGATATTTTTTTGAAATGATGAAATTAAAAATAGAAATTAAAATATGATCAATGTAGCGTAGTAACTAACTATTAATTTTGTGTAAAATATGATCAATGAGCAGTTTTGATGATGATGTTGACAAGGGTTTAAAGGTTTAGCACATGACACAGGGAGCACACATGATGCTTGCAGTCTTGTTACCCAATAGAATAACAAGAATTTTGCTTTGTGTAATTTTCAGGGAAGAACAGCACTCTGGGATTCTATCTTGCTTTTGTGCCACAGGATTAAGGTCGGATATGGAGGCATAATTCGGGGCATGCATATTGGTTCTTCAGCCTTGAGCATTCTCGCGGTGCTTGATCCAGAAAATGACGACTGACTTCTTATTTGCCGGCACACTTTATATTTATTTGTTTATGTCGTACTTACTGCAACAATGAGCAAGCAATGAGGAGAATGTCTTGCTGGCCACTGCCAGTTTGAAACTTGTTTGATCTAAGGGAGTCCGTTCAAAACCCTTTTTTCAAGCACCCTTATAAGAGATCACATTTTTGGGAACGCTGATGACTTAACCACGTTTATCTAACAGCTATAATGGTTTGCAGAATATTCTAGTGAAAGAATATTGGACAAAAACAGAGGTAGTATGTATGATATCTCACTAAACCATTCGAAAGGAAGATGTGTTTGCAGTGTAATTTCATTCTGAGCATTAAGACTCCTTTCGCTATCCTTGCGTTCATAACTGGACTAAACTGGAGAAAAGTTCAAATTTATGGACTGAATTGAATAATCTCACGCAGCAAGGCAGGCCAGGGAGATTATTGTTCTCGAGAATTATTTATTTTACTGAATGGGAAAAAGAAGGGTCGGATGGATAAGAATATTTTTAATGTGGATAAGAGGACCTATGGAATTTCATCAACCCATAACCGTTATAATGGCATTATTGCCCCCAAACAAAACTGGGAAGAAATATGTACTCGAACTACCACCCTCCCCCCCCAAAAAAAAAAGAAATAAAACTCAAAAGTGCATCAAATCCCTAACACTTCATCCCCATATACCATTCAAAAACCCGAACACTATAAATCCTAAATGACATAATCTAAACCCAACACCCCCCCCCCCCCAAAAAAAAAAAAAAAAAAAAAAAGAAGTAAAAAAGGAGTGAGAAAACAGAATGACCAAATCAGACCTAACGTGGTTTAGGCAATTCAAACTAGAAACTTAAAATTTCCCAGAGAATCTTGACCTCCATGGGGAGTATCTTTGAAATAGAAGAACAAATGCGCCTAAGACATGGAACAAAAGAGGTAGAAGGGAATTAGCATGGAAGAGACATCCATTATTGAAAACGAGATTTTTCTATAAGTAACTGGATCTGAGTGAAAGATGTACAGCAAATTTGATCTCATCTTAAAGCGGAGACGAGAGAGTTAGGATATACTTGTATCACTTCAGGGTGGGGTTTCTCCACTGCCTCCAATAATCTAAACCAATGGAACAATGTCTGTGGGCGAAAGTGCTTGTAACAACCCTGTTACATTGCACAGAATCAGAAACACTACTTTTGTAAATGTAGAGACAACAAGGCAGACATAAGGCCAGAGCTCACCATTTTACAAAAAGTTCTGCAGGAGGCAGCACAATATTTTCAAATACAGTTCTCTTTTGGGCATCTCTTAAGCTGGGTATTCTTCCAAGGATGATTTTATGTGCAGACATGAATGCTTTGTTGACTTTGTCCAAGACCGATCAAAAAATGACTCTGTGACTTGCCTTCTTCTCCATTAGAATTCACGAGGGAGGATCAATCATTTTAACCAAGTTAGGGTCTAACTACTCAGAGTCCGAGTCAATAGAAAAATAAAATCTCGGTCTTACTGAACGTTTTTGGCGAGGAAATGAGAAAGGGCTATCTGATCTTGGTCTACTTGCTTTGTCCGATTTAACATCATTTGTACCAAGAAGCATCGAAGCTACACAAAGGATAAGAGTTGGTTCAGTAATCTAGTAATTGATGACCATAAAAAAGAAAAATATGCAGAGAAGAATTGTTGTAGCAAGGACGTGCTAAAACAACAAATAATAATTCTAGAACAGGAGGTTGATTGAATTCTAAGATTGGATCCTATGGCAATTGATTCCGTTTCTTACAAGAAAATTACTTATAGTTCAAAGAAAATGTCTTTGTTAAGGCTTGAAAATTAAAGAGTGTGAAACAACCACGCAATAGATCTGTTGATCAAAATCGAAAACACATTGAATCTACAAATACAACCATGCATGCCTGCCTATCAGCCAGCCAGAGACTCATTCCAATCTGATGGCCATTAGCATTGACTGATGAATTAAAACAAGTTAAAGATCTTCAAAGAAATAAGGAAACAAACCAGTATTCGCCAAGGAATCTATATCACCTCCCTGGGAAGGTATCTGCTGCCTTGAATTTAAGCCATTTGCAGTTCCCGACTCACCATTAGCACCATTAGCACCATTAGCACCACCACCAAGGCTAAGTGAAATCCAATCATCACTACGGATGATGCCATTTGATACATCAGTTTGATCTCTCATATCAGACTGCACTGATGCACCTGAAGGCTGTGGTGGAAGAAATAACTGAAGAGAGGGATCATCTCCATATAATAGATTGTCAACCAAGCCATCATTTATTTCTTGATCACCCTGACCAACAACAGAAGAACCTGGAACAAGAGTTGCAGACACCATTGAGTTTTCTGGAGCGAATAGGTAGTCATTCATTGATGTGGAACAATTGATGGAACCACGCTGCAAACCAACTAAGGCATCAGAGACATCTGCATCTGAACTAAATAGTTGAAACCCTCCGCCTTCTTGAGTTCCAGGAGGTAACGACCATGAGGACATCCCAAATTCATCATCATGACCATTGAAAAGACCCAAGCAAGTACCGCCACTCAGAAGGGTTTGATCTTCTGGATATGAATGGGAAATTCCTTGAGCAACTGAAAAAACTCCACCAGTATCAGTTTGATTGTCCTTATAACCAGCTGTAGAAGATATTAATATGTCATTCTCTTCGTCCGAGTCACTAAGAACAATAACTTCTGCATTTCCTGCTGCTGCAGAATGATTTTGGTCAATAAAACCATATGCTATATCTGTATTAAAAGGCATAGAATGATGTTCATTTCCATTGGTGTTAAACTCATCGGTCCCATCATCCTGATTTACGCTTGGATCTTCACCATCCCTACCACTGCCAGTGGCGCTGCTGCTCATTGGGATAACATTTGGGATAACATTTGGCCCATGAGGTTCAAAGTTATCCCTTAACCTATTACCAGAAGAGGTATTCACGTCTTCAGGTTTGCTAACTTCCCAGGTGCCATTGCGGTTCCTCCTCCTGATTCCAATTTTCAAGCCAGTATGAACTTCTTCAGCACCTTCTTCTTTAATCTGCTTTGACATTTCAATGCTTGGCTTAACCTCACACAACGTACTATTAGGATTGTGCCACTGCACAAGATCTCCAAGTTCCTTGCGATCGCTGTCAGTTTTAGCTTTTACACGCCAAGACCCATCAGGCTTCACTTCAATTTCTGTAACATCTTCTCCACAGTTCCTCATCTAAACAGCAAAAGTAAATATCTAATCAATGTCTGAGGTTATTAGTATCAAAAAAGAAAAAACAAAAAAGAAGAAAGATATCCCATGGCTAAATTCATGAGATCAACAAAGCAACTACCTTGGATGTGATTCGATTAAAATAAGGATCCATTATAATACTCTCCAATGAGTAGTTCTTAAGACAAATGGGGCACTGCCACTGTGGATGTGAAACAATAATTGGTCAAAAACTGGGGCTGATTTATGGATAAAAAAAAGAAAACTACCAAATGACACAATATATGAATGTGCTGTTATTTGCTTGCCTTCCTAGAACGTTGGTTCAGCTCCACAAAAACTTCAAGATCAAAACAGCCCATGTGAACACATGGTTTAAACCGTCCAGCCACCTTCATTCGTAAACCACTCATCTATGCACAGGTAAACACAGAAGCAATTCAGAAACAATTACAACTTCAAAACATGATAATTGAAGTTGTCACACCAACAGAAGGCTGCATCCAATTTCCATTAAGCAGGTGGTGAAATCCAATTAACAACAAAAATTTATCTAACCAGATGACAATATGTTAAAGCAATTCTGTGGTGAGGAAGCATAAGTAAATGATGGCACATGTAGTACAAAGTGTAAACAAATTTCTAGGTTCCGTTACATAGGAAAATATCTATTTGACAATACCAAACTATAGAAACATTAGTGCAAAACTGATGAGAATAAAATTTTGAAAATAAGTCTGCAGGTGGAAGTATACGCATGCATACCAAACAAGCATGTTAGATAACCAATTCACTAGTGCAACAGTATGAAAGGGAAAAAAAAGTCAAGCAATTGGAAGTTTGCAGACAAAATGGGGTTTATCATGCAGGCCAGGAATGTGATTTATTAATCATCCATTATTTACATATAGACGTGCAATTTAAAACCATTTTAACCACAAATCTTTCATCATTGGACAAGAAGTTTGATATTTGAAAGTGTGCCCAACAAATTAAAGATGCAATTTTTCCTACACAAGATTGCTTTCAGTATACAAAAATATCTTACTGGACAACGTAGATTGACACCAAAATAATCTGCAACAACTTCAATATCACTGTCACTGTCAGCATCATCTGCTGCAGTTCCACCACCAATGCAACGACAAACACGAGCAAGAGCATCTTCAAACCGTTCACCATCAGATTCGTTCGGAATCATGTCAAGAATCTAGGCAATGAAGCAGAATAAAATAAATAACTATACGAGCTAGGAAAGTGGAAATACTGAGGCAAAATATCTGCCAAAAGTGACTAGACTTAAACCACTTTTCCACCTCAAACCTTCTATCATTTTAGATTAATCTTTCTACAAATTTCATAGCAGCAAGCAGCATCTACTAGGCTCAAAATCACATGTCTTGTACCAGAAATCTAATTGAAAAATTCATCTAAAAAACATCTAGATTAGAAGAAGCTTGACTTGCCTGTTGCAATGTCCGACGCTCGACCAGTCTAACACCTAAACAGAAGACACGGGCATCACATCCAGTCAAGGTAATTTTATTGATTCCGTCTTTTGTAAACGGAGTTATCTGCCACAATAGAAACAGAAATTTCCAATTTTAACAAGCCATAACTTATAAGATATCATAGGTTCGAAGAAATAATAACCAAATTCATATGACTAGCTGTGATCTTCCCAGGACACACAAAGCATACGGCAAACAAGATAATGCACATGACATGAGAGATCAAAGGATGAGAAGCAAATTTATTTGTTTTGTAAAGGGGCAAGAACTTACAATTGGACCGTCATCACGACCATTAGCCCCTAGCTGTTGTGAGCCAGGTCTAAAAATAGCACGAACGGGTGCACCTGTTAGTGAAACTATAAGTCATATTACTGAAGGAAATACCCAGTATACATACACTGTTCCAGTTTCATTATAAGGGAAAAAGAATAAAACTACAATGGAATGATAATTTTAAGAACCAGAAAAGTGGCAAAGCTATCAAATTCCATAATCACAACTACCAAATTCTCCCGAGTACACATGAAATAGCAAGAAAAGGCAAAAACAAATACAAGCAAAACATTGATAACCATACCATTGACCTGCAACTCTGTGTACTGAGGCCAGTGCATCCGAAATGAAACTTTGTCATTCAGGAGCATGCACCATGCCTGAATAAATATATATATATATAAACAATCATTAGCATACATATAACTGAATAGATTTAAATCATATGAATTTTCTAGCGAACAAACCTGAACATCATACTCTTGTTTTGTCACCAAGTCCTTCTCCTCTCTTGTGAGTGGAAATGTCTTCTCCACACTTTGAACTGGGTTTGTACTGTTAAAATTTTCAGTTACAAAATAATAAATCATACAAACTTAATGAGACTAGTAACATAGACATACACAAAGACATTCACTTTGACCTACTGGACAAAATAAAAGGAAAGAACTTCTCTGGAAGAGGGTAATAAAAGCTTCTTTATTCCAACCTAGTACACTCACCCATCAGTTGGGTTATTGGTAAAAGCCAACTTCACTGGATATAATGGGTGCCCAATAGAATGTAAGAAACTGCATACAAAGAACCATGTTAAAAATTTACAATTTCCAAAAGAATATTATTCCAAACCATTAAATTATTATATACTGAGAAATCAGGAAGATTTCCAAATGCTTTATTTATTTCATTTAGCAGT